TTTTTAAAGTTGGGTAACAATCCGGGTGGGTGATCATAGGCCTATAACCTTAAATACCTGCTAAGAGTACAGGAAATCCTTTTATTTTGTTTCCCTTTTAAGCTGGTGATTTCTTTAATGCTCCTGATGAGGCCCCTGACTCTCATCGCTTGCCTTATGTGGGCAGTATTCTCCGCAGGTGGGCAGGAGCCTCCCCCCCCCCTTTTCTCCTTTTTCGCCTCCGTGCTCCCGACGCAGTCAGCACACTCTTAGGTTTGCTGATCCGGTTAGCTTAGCCCCCCTCTGCCCTCAACCCGACCCGGCCAACCCCATCTGCGCCGGTGCTGGCGGGGCCGCTGCTGGGCTGGACCTGGGGCAAAGGCATGGCAGCTGCATTCTACCGCAGTGTGAAATCGCACATCCCTCTCTCTTCCCCCCTCCCTGCCAAACATGCTCTTCCCTCACATCTTCCCTAAAACATTTTGACTTCCAATTATAATCTCTACTTCTAAATTTTTCTATCCGCTTCAAGCAACGTTTAATTTTTTTATATGTAATGAGAGGATTAAAGGTTAAAATGAAAAAGTGCCCTCGTTAAGTGTACTACAACAATGTATTTTATTGAAAACTTGATTGCAATTATTGTGACTTTTTAACTCACTCCTTACAATATAGGTGATACACAAAATCAGACAGGTACCTAACAATGTACACACATCATTCATCATTGAACAAGACAGTTAGCAAAGCCCGTCAAAGTGCAAGAGGTCCGACAGATCCATCAGACACAGCTTGACTGGCAGCTGTTGTAATGTTTCAAATCACTGACATGGAACCAGAGGCCGACAGACGCATGGTCTTCTGGGGAGGCACACTTGCCCACGGGGTGCGCGAAAACACCGACGTACTTGTATTTGTGCAATTTATTCTCGAGACTTAGGCGGCAAGGCAGTCGGCGGCAGACCCCGCAGGGGTGACCCGCAGAGCAGACGTAGGAATGTAGCTCCACATGGAGCGAGGGGTTCGCCGATAGAATGTCCTTGAGTCTGTTGGTGTGCAGCATGGCGTGCGGGCAAATCCACCGCGTGAGTTCAAAGATCTCGTGCCGGTACAGCTGCAGGCTCCGCAGAGACGGGTTGGTGTCGGGGGTGATCACCGACAGCAGTTGTTGGGACGCCACGTTCACCTTGAACCTCCGCAGAGTGGGCAGCGAGGGCAGCGCTTGCTCCAGCAGCGACTGCAACCGGGCGAGCGCTCCCCCTTCGTGCTCCACGTACAGCGACTCCAGTTGGGAACCTTCGCACGAGGTCAGCCCCCCAATCAGCTCGACGATGCTGTTGTTTCTCGACGCATGGTGCTCCACGTCGTGCAGAACGTGCGTTTGATTATCGAACACGTGGACGTCGCGTAGCTGGGTGGCGCGGCGGAGCAGCTCGGCCGCCCCCGCAGTGTTGGCGGCGATGCCCTTGTGGGAGGACATGACGGTGAGTCGCAGCTCCCGCAGCGACTCGCACGCCGCCACGCCGTCCAGGCCGGGTATCAGACAGCAGTGCAGCTTGCGCAGGTTCGGCATGCCGGCCAGCAGGCGCGCCGGCGAGGCGGCGGGGGCGGGAGTGTAGAACGAGTCGGGGATGGGGACCAAGTCCACGTCCTCCAGGGTGGTGGCGTGCCGGGCCAGCACGCTCTCGAGGAAGTGCTCCGTCGCCTGGCGGAGGTGGCAAGATAACTTCCTCAGGGTCGGTACGACGGTGCCGTCCTCGACGAGGCGGGACGACTTTGGCAGGTTGCCCTCCACGTCTACGCTAAGACTAATCTTCACGCCAGACGTCGAGGCCAGCGACATGAGCAGCAAGCTGAGCGCGTCGTCTGCTGCAGCTGCGTCCTTATTCCTGGCACTCCTGAAGCTCACGCTCACGGCCCTCAGCCGGCCGGCCACCTGCTGCTGTCTGATGAGCCTGGCAGCAGGCTGGACTTCTTTGGCACCCACATACAAGGACAGCTCCCTCACGGCGCACGTGGCGACGAACAGAGTGAGGCGGGGCCCGTCCGAGGGTCGTTGTTTGTGCCAGTTGTCGACCACGAGCTCGCGCAAGCACGGCGCCAGGCGCAGCACGGCGCACTGGCATATGTTTCCGTGGCCGAAGGAAGCGCGCCGGTGCCGCCAGACGTCCGGGTGCAGGGCCAGGCCACCGAACCTCTTGCACACGAGGCGGCAGGCCAGGACGGCCACCTCGCTCAACAGCGACATCACCCTCACCAGAACGTCGTCCGGAAGCTGGTCCATGATGAGCTGTGCGGACGCGACAGGACACAGTCAGAGGGTATTTTGCCGGAGGAAAATCGGCGCCCATAGAGGAAAAACATGACTGTCCGACCTGTTTTCCCCTGAACGATGACGTCGCGTGTGGCAGTCAGCCAATTAGCGCGCAAGCATGAGTCGCGCCTTATGTCAATATGTTGTTCTGAAGTGCCTGTTTTTGCCCCCTCTCCTATCTGACATAAGCTATTGTGACCGCCATCTTTGGCAAGTTGAGCAGTCATGCAAACAGATCGAGCAGTCATGCTTTTCTTCTTTAAGTTCCGGTTGGCTAACAGCGGAATATCCTATTGCAACTCACCCGCACTTATCAAAAATTGTTTCACCATACGCTGGGGTAGCAATGAGGCTGGGTCCAGCGAGAACGGCGCCGTCCTGGGAGGAGCTGGGTCCTTACAGCCTCCACCTCGACCGACAAACTGACGACGACTGACGACGACTGACGACGGGACAGACGGACGAACGACTCGAACCTCGGCCCTCAACCCGGCTGAAAACGGGTGGGGATTCGTAGGAGGGATATAACCTGGAGGGATTCGTAACGTCCCCTCGAGACCAGTGACTAAGGCACTACTGGGAAACCCTTCGGTCGAGGTCGGGGTGCTGCAACAACACACGACGCCACACCCGAACTCCTGCTCCTATGCGCCCCTGTTCTGTTGTAAAGAAGAAGCGAGTGGGGGGGGGAGGGGGGTTACAGTTGTGGTAGAAACAGTCTTGGGGACTTGGGGGCGGTATTT